GGTCGGTACGCTAGAATGTAACTTTTTTTTTTTACAATCTCTCTCAATTTCATCTGGGTGTATATGAAAAGTTCGTAAAAAAAAGGAGGGGGTAAAACTTCACGGCCTAGGCCGTGAAAAAAAGACGGTATGGTAGAGTCTCTAGAAAAGAGTCCCTTTACGGACGCCACCCAGCGCTCAGAAGTTGAACTTCTGGAGCGAGTATAACAAAAAAAATATTTTTGAGTTAATATAAGAAAAAAAAAAAAAGAATTTTAACAAAATTTAATTCACAATTTTTAAGAAAAATAATTTTATGTTGATTTAGAAAGAAAAAACACAAAAACACAAAAAAAATAATTTTCAGAAAATTGAATTCATAATTTGTAAAAAAAAATAAATTTTAGTTAATTTTAAAACAAAAAAAAATTGAATTCATAATTTTTGTTTTCTTATTTTTTATTAAAAATTTATAAAAAGTGTAAATTATATTGAAAAAAATTTTTTAATTAACTATAGATAATTTTTAATTAATTTTAAAACAAAAATCATTTTCAATTAATTAAAAAAAAAAATAATTCGAACAAAATTTAATCTATAAGTGTTAAAAAAAATATTTTTAAGTTAATTAAAAAAAAAAAGAATTTCAACAAAATTTAATTCATAATGTTTAAGAAAAATATTTTTATGTTAATTTAAAAAGAAAAAATAAAAAAATAAATAATAATAAAATTTAATCTATAATTTGTAAGAAAAATAATTTTAATTAATTTTAAGACAAAAAAAAAAATTAAAAAAAAAATGAAACTTACGAATTGAGGTCTGTGAACCAATACTCCCCAGCATAACCGTATGATCACCAGGAAGTGCCGGTGGAGGACCTCCCGGCATAATTAACCCAAAAGCAGCAGTTCTTTCTCTGCTACTACTGCTTTCTTTATTCGTCCTCTGCAATCTTTACCCCAAAAACAAATTCAACAATCACCCTGAAGATTTACGACTTTCTTAAAAATTTCCTTAATTGAAAAAGATTCCTCACCTGTGACGAATGAACTTCTCCATGGGTACCTTGTCCATAGGAATCTTCTCCTCAGAAGCCTCCTTCTCCTGATGTCTCGTGTGAAGTTTCCTGGGCTCATTTTGCTGATACCACTCTTCAGTCTGCGTGGATTTATCAACAACCAACAACGCGGGGGGTATGTAAGAGTAGTCGCGAGGCCACTGTCCCTTCAAGTAAATAGTGTCAAGGGATGCTGTCCTTCTAATATTTTGGTTGCCGCTCAATCCATCGCTGCACCGTCCGCTGAGTGTCTTTGATTTAGCTGCAAGGTTACAAACAAATAGCTATTAGCGATAAATCTAGATCAAGGAATTGGAAACCGAGCCAACAGACAATTATTCGGCCTCCAATTTTAACAACTAAATAAATTAATTAAAAAGTAATTAAATTAAAACCTTTGTATGAAAGAGAGCCAGGACTCCGTTGTCCAGAAGACGCTGAAGTCTCAGGAGAAATTCTAGCTCGCCAAGCATTTGAAGTCGGTGAAACTGTTGGACTGTTGCTGTTGCTCTTCCTGAGATTGCTTCCTTGTCGGCTTTGCCTCAACAACGAGCTTACCGGCAAGGTTGCTCGCATCGGGCCTAGCTTTATTGTCGAGCATGGCGACGACTTACGCATTCGTTGT